GGCATATTCCCTGTTCTTAAGAATAACTTGAAGCAGAGTACAAAGATATTTTATACTGGTGGTAATCAGTCATTAAGAAGTTAGGAGGATGGTTATGCTGATTTTAGCAATTTTGCATTGCCCTCAATGTTTTAGATTTATGCAATGTGTCATTTTCTTGAAGTTGTTTCAACAGTTTTTGCCATAAACAAAGAACAATCTTTACTCATTCTAAATCTCTTACTTAGTGGAGGTAGCATGTCAATACTAATTATTCTGTTTGCACCATATTCTGTCATCTTGCTCTATTGGTATATTAGGAGTACTGTAACCCTCCTTCACTATATTTTCTTTCCAATACGGAAAAGAAAGAAGAAAAGACCATTTATCAATTGCAACACATACTGCTACTACAACAGTTAAACACTAGAATAAAATGTAATATCTTAAATTTACTGATTGTTTAAAATATACTTATTTCTGTGAGGGAAAATGTGTTAATTAGAGATATTCATTACTGCGCCATGTGTAAGACACGTACTGTAATTAACATACATTTGACATTCAAATTCACATAATTGTAGTATCAGCATAATCAGCTCAAAAGTGAGAAGAAAAAATAATGTCAGAGTATGTCACTTGGTTAACTATGGCTCCTAGTTGCAAAATGTTTAGTGTCAGCACCCTGCTGGATGATGGTGATATCTGTGTTGGTTGCCTTTTTTTCTATGCCTCTCATAGATGCATGACTCTTTTAAGTGTTATAAATCTTTGTATATGATAATTTGGTAAGTGAAAAAAGGATTAAGTAACGTAGGACTATTTCTTTAATTAAAAGTTGAATAGCTGGAATGGAACTTCATGTTCCAGCGGTAATATTGAGTTAGAGTATGTGTTACCCCAAAAAAAGTGTTAAGAATATTTGGTAATCTGTCCTTATCTTTTGCTTTTGAAATGTAGTTGCTATAACAGTCACAGTGAGGCACTAAAGCACTTCAGTTCAGCTGGATCACAGACAACCAATTGAGACGCTGCAAACATACCTTCTACTTTATAACTCACCAATATCTACACTCTACACACCTGTCATTCTTATTTCTTTTGGTTATTAATGTTTACTTATTTCATGAAGGTACTGCAAAGCTACTTTATATTCCTTGATTTTTGGCAAAGTCTGGCTACGAAGCTTTGGACTACCGCTCTTGATCATAGAAAATGATGAAGTCTGACGTGCTTGTGATGTCTTTGTAGATGTAAATATTTCTTTATGGTTTTTGGTATACTTGTGATTTTTGCACATATTGTAGATAAACCTATCCTATTATGCCAATGATGTTTGTTTGGAAGTTGTATAGAAAAGTATCATGTTCTGCCTATAGTACAAAGTTTTGGTCAATAATTTATTTTGATTTTATTAAGGGGAGGTTTTCTATGAGTATCAGAACATATGGTTCGGTTAATAATTTTAGCTATATATAGTTCAGTCCATAGTTTTAAGTTTTTTACTGCGTTCTTATCATTACTACCTCAAAACAACATCTTATTAGCCATATACCAACGAAATTGCTCCAAGGTGCACCCCACTTGATTTCCAATCAATTGAGAGTGTCGGTTTACGCAAGCTTCTTAAAGTTAGTATTCTGTAGGCCTAATCTTCTCATTTCTTCGTAAATCTCGGGGAGAATATAGTATGTATACAAATATTTGTTGAGCACGGGCAATGCACATCTAGTTAATGTAAAATTGGATTGAAGAAAGAAGAATTAATCGTTTAGGTTTAGGGAAAAAAATGAAAACGAAGAATCAAAGCCGTGCAAAATGAAATCTTTTTGACAGCTTATATTATAAAAAAAAATCCTAATTTAATAAGCTTTGACCCTTTTCTCATATCACATGGGGCGATTTGCAGCCGTATTCTATTTTTATGCCACCTTTTAACTTATACCTTATTTTTAAAAACTATTGATTTTGTAACCAACTAACAAAAAATCCGTAATAATATGATCATTATACCCCTTCCAAAACATATAAAAGATGCATCAATCATACCTAGAATTAAATTCCAGATCTTCTTCGTATCTCCTCCATCAGTCCGTCTCTCCTGAGATCGCCTCTCGCAAACCAAATTTGAACCAGATTCAAATTCCAAATTCCAAATTCCAAATTACAAAATACATTGTAAGTGTTCAAATTCATCTTCAGAATTCAAAATAGTTTTTGAATTACATGTTTTCTGATTGATTGATTGAAGTTGTTTGACGAACTTCACTGATATGCTGAATTTGCATTCTAAATCTATTTGACGATGAATTCTAACATTCTAATCCGACAAATATGCTAAAACAAGCTGAAGTTATTTAGTTCATATCTAAAAAATTAAGCAAAACGAGCTGGCAAATAACACAACGAAGAAAAAATTATATTAAAACATTATATGAGTGTTTTAATATTTAAAACACCTATGCGCAAAAAACTTCGGCATAAGTGCCGAAGTTTTTTAGCTAATATTTAAAAATTTCAACAGGAGGAGCTGAAGTTTTCCTATTACACCGGGTAAAAACAAATAAAACATCAATAAAATTTCATATTGCACAAAAAACTTCGGCATAGGTGCTGAAGTTTTTTAGTTAATATTTACAAACTTCAGCAGGAGGAGCTGAAGTTTTCCTATTACACTCTGTAAAAAAAAATAAAACATCAATTAAAAGTTCATATTGCATAAAAAACTTCGGCATAGGTGCTGAAGTTTTTTAGTTAATATTTACAAACTTCAGCAGGAGGAGCTGAAGTTTTTCTATTACACTCTGTAAAAAAAAAATAAAACATAAATTAAAATTTCATATTGCACAAAAAACTTCAGCACATGTGCTGAAGTTTTTTAGTTAATATTTACAAACTTCAGCAGGAGGAGCTGAAGTTTTTCTATTACACTCTGTAAAAAAAAAATAAAACATAAATTAAAATTTCATATTGCACAAAAAACTTCAGCACATGTGCTGAAGTTTTTTAGTTAATCTGTAAAAACTTCGGCTAATGGAACTGAAGTTTTCCTCCTGCACTATGTATTTTATTATCATTTTTTGGAAAAACTTCATACCAAAAAATGCTTATGTTTTCAGGAATATGTAAAACATTTTTCATATAATTTTTTGTATGCTGAAGTTTTTTTAGTTCATCTGCTAAAAATGCTTAATATTTTGTCGTGCAATATGTAATTTTCGGATAAGTTTTTGTTAATTGTTCTGTTATTTTCTAAGTTTAAAAAGAATTTTTAGTTCATGCTTGAAGTTTTCATCAATCACTGTGTATTTTATTATGATTTTTTGAAAAAACTTCATACCAAAAAATGCTTAATATTCGGATTAGTTTTTGTTAATTCCTGTTGAACTTATATAGTTCATTTCCTTTGCTATTTTTCGACTTTGAATAGAATTAATATTAAAAAACGCAAAAAAAAAACTTAAAACAAAAATTGAATATTTCATTAAATATTAAAAAAGATAAATTAAACTATATAAATAACAAAAAGAAAAACTAATCGTCCATATCATCATCATCATCATCGTCGTCGTCACTACCAGATGGACGAGCATCTTCATCAGCAAGATTATCAAATCTTGCATACATCACAAACATATCAAGCTTGTTGTTAATTTCTTCTAGCTCCCTGTCGTACTTGTGTATGAGGTCATCCAGTTTCAGCTCAAAAGCCTCTATAATGTCTTGCTTGATTTCTTCCACTATTTGCCTGATGACAACATCCATTTTTTCCTTTTTGTATTTTATTATGTATGCTAAAATATATATGTTTGAGTGAATAAACTCACAAGGAATAGCGTGCTTATATAGGGGAAAAAACTTCTGCAAGGTATATGAAAAGGCAAAGAAGAATTTTAAACATTGTCTAATGAAAAACGTGCATGAATGTGATAGGAATGTAATTATTACACTAACACATACCCCCAACGCAATATAATTATTACTTTAATTGTGTAGGTTACTCCTGTATTCTATGCAATTAATGCTGAAACATGCTAAAGTTTGTTGAATTCATTTGCTAAAACTTCAGTCCAATGTGCTGAAGTTCTTTAGTTCATTTCTAAAATCTTCAGCACCTAATGAGCTGAAGTTGTTTTCCCTGCATTCATGAATCCCTGTCATACAGTTTTTTCAAAAAAACTTCAGCTGATATGCTGAAGTTATTAAGCTTATTTCTAAAAACTTCTGCACTTAATAAGCTAAAGTTTTCTGTGCAGCATTCATTAATTATGTCATACATCTTTTTCCAAAAAATTTCAGCAGAAAATGCCTAAGTGATTTAGTTCATTTGTAAAAACTTCAGCACAAACAACCTAAAAATTCTTCTGTTCACTTTCCTAATACTTTCCACTAACATGAATCTGCAGGATGAGTTCGATTTGCGTTGTTATAACTTTCAATGCGAGTTGGACTCCTGATTTCAAATACTTGGATCATGATACAAAACTTATTCTACTTAATAAGCACATATCATTCAATACTTTCCTGAAGAAAATTAGTGAAGTTGCAAATATTGATTCAACCAGATATGCACTACAAGTGTGGTTTGATATCAAACTAAATACAAGCAAAAGAATTCTTGTAACTTCAGATGAAGAACTCAGTACTGTATACATTTGCTTACAACTGATTCACCTTACAAGAATTGCCATTTCATCATTGAAAAAATACATCCTTCAAAATCTGCAGCATTCAAACAATCGCTTGCATATGCGATAGATTCAGAACCTTTTGCTGATTATCAACATGAAGTAGGACAACCAATAATGGAAGTAGACAACGAGCAACAACCTTCTAAAATTACAGCTACTTCAGAATATATAATGCTGCAACAATTACCCCCTCCTCCAATAAATTCATACCAGTTTGTCAATGACCAAGAAGAAGGACAACTAATAATGCAAATTGACAACCAACACACAATCCAACAAAGCTTTTTGTTACCTTCTGCAATGATAAGCAACAACTAAGATGAAGTAAACATGGAGCTTATACCGATAACATCAGATAGAATTGAAGAAATTGTTGAAAGTTCTTGTGCTTCTCAGAAATCAAGAAAAAGAGTGAGGAGAAAGCTGAAAGAATCTCCACCATGTAAAATACTTAGGCACGATGCGTTGCCTGAGGAAGTAAGAGTTGGATCAATTTTTGAGAACAAACAAAACATGACTAAATTTTTCTGCAGCTTCGAGATAAACCAGAAAGTTGAATTCACTGCTGTTAGATCATGTTCAAAGAGATACAAGATGAAATGCATCGTGGACAAATGTGGTTGGAATGTACGTGCTACCAGAATAAAAAATTTCACACTATTCAGGGTGATAAAATATCATAACATCCATGAATGCTCGGTTGATGCAAGAAAATTAGATCAGAAGCATGCTACATCAAATTTTTTAAGTGAACAAATTATAGAACATGTTCGAGACAAAAAGATAGAGGTTACACCAGACTTTGTAGAAAATAAAATGAAAAAGAAATTTGGAATTGACATTGGTTATCACAAGTCATGGCGTGCTATTCAAAAAGCTATTGCTTGCATAAGGGGAACACCTGAAGAAAACTACCAGATTCTTCCTTCATACCTACACATGATGGTGGGTAAAAACCCAAGAACATACACAAGCATAAAAAGAGATGCGCAGAATAGGTAAGCAAAACAATACTAACCATCAGCCTGAAGTTTCAAATGTTCCTATTTGAAAAACTTCGCATCTTATGATTTGTTTTTTTTTTGTGTTTCACTATACAGATTTGCTTACATGTTCTTTGCTCCTGCGACATCAATAGCTAGTTGGTCCTACTGTAGACCTGTTATTGCAGTAGATGCAACGTTTTTAAAGTCAAAATATCGTGGTATTCTATTTGTTGCTGTATCAAAGGATGCAAACAATCAAATCTTTCCTCTATGTTTTGGTGTAGCAGATTCAGAAAACAATGAGGCATACATTTGGTTCTTCGGGGAAATGAAAAAAACAATTCAAGTCCATCGTGAACTGGTTTTCTTGTCAGATAGAAACCAATCGATCGCAAATGGGATTAGAAAAGTTTTTCCTGAAGCTCACTATGGTATCTGCCTCTATCACTTTGAGAAAAATTTAAAGCAAAGACATGCAAAATCCACGGTAATAAATCATTTTCAAAGTGCTACAAGGTCATACAAACGTGAAGATTTTAATCAGTTAATGTCCCAACTCAAAAGTATTGACAAGAAAACATACAATTACATAATGGAAGAGCCTCCTGAGAGATGGGCTCGATCGTGGTTCCCACGGCGACGTTATGATATGCTAACAATAAACATGATAGAATCAATGAATTCCGTTTTACTAGAAGGGAGAGAAATGCCTATTTTAAGAATGTTAGATTTCATCCAAGAAAAGTTGGGAGAGTGGTTTTACGAACGAAGAAAAAAGGCAAATGAAACTTTTCACAGAGTATCAATATGGGCAGAAGAAGAGATGACTAAGAAGATGGACTTGGCTTGAAAAATATTTGTGAGTATATTTATTAACTTCAGCTTTTTATATTTGTTGCAGTATTTACTGCTTACATTTAAAAAATTTCATACTTTTTCATTTTGAAGCAAAAATATACTAATATAGTTTGTCTTAATTTTTTATTCCTTGTTAGGTGTTCAACCTTGAATCAATGTTGTTTAGAATAAATAGTGAAGGAATCGAATTCATTGTGGACTTAAAGAAGAGAACTTGTGACTGCCTGGAATTCCAACTTGATGAACTGCCCTGTCACATGCAATTGCTGCTATAAATAAGAGATATTTGCAGAAATCTGATTACTGCTCAAATTAGTATTCAAGGGAAACATGGTTGAAAACATATGAAGGACATGTGAATACCGTGGGAGATCAAAAATCATGGAATATACCACAAAATGTACAATCTGAGATCACAAAACCTCCCGATGTAGAGATTTTACAAGGAAGAAGACAAAAGAAGAGGCATATACCTGCGACTGAATCAGTACTATTCAAGTCTACCAAATGCAGTCGATGTAAACAAGCTGGGCATAAAAAAATAACTTGCTTGTCTTCTCCAACACCTCATCCATATTCCAAGAAACACACTGAAAAATACTCCAACCTTCAATAATCCTTGGTCTAAATTTAGACTTTCTTTATTGTATGACATAATTGAAATGGGATTTTTTTCATAGGAATAAAAAAAATAAGCTCTTGGACTATTTTATATACTGCTAAAGTACAAATCACTCATTTTTGTTGCGCATGCTTACATGTTTGGTTGCATTTTAAAAAAGTACGCAATGACTTCTACGACAAGAAACATCAGCTTACAGTATGTGAAATACATACCCTTAAACACACACACACACATACACACACACTTACACACACATACACGTACAACACACAAAAAGAAATGCATGTACAAACAAAAGCTGCAACATCTCTAAGCTGAAGTTATAGAAAAAGAACATAATAAAAACTAAGAACCATACTGCAACTAAGAAATATAAAGCAAATACCAACAAATAACAAGGATAATGCAATAGAAAGCTAATAACAAAGAGGATGACAACTACATTGATATAAAAATAGATAAGAACAACAAACAAAGTACAAACAAAACTTCAGCTCTCTAGGCTGAAATTATACAAAATGAACCTAAAAACTTCAGCTCTATGGGCTGAAGTAAACAAAAAAGCATAGAATTAAAACATAAAAAAGGATTACAAACACTAACAATCATCACCATTATTATCATCATCATCATCACAGTACTCCTCAATTTCTCTAAATATCTCATCATCATCAGTATCGGAGATAACTATAGGGTAGTCGGGCAAAAGACCACTGAATCCAAGAAGATCAATCTTCAACTTGTTGAATTCATCACGCAGCTGACTTTGTTCGACGATTACTCTGTCCGTAAGAGTTAGAAGAGTCTTCAGGTTGTTTTGCAGCTTGGAATAGTCGTTCCAGCTGGGAAACTGAAAACTATCAAACTGCTACACAACCTTGTCGAACGAGGTTGAATAACCTCCACAACTATGTTCCAGGTTAAGCCTGTTCTTGGATGATTCATTTGCAAAGAGCTTTGGTCTGATTCTCTCCCAATCAGCCTTTATTTGATCCCACAAAAGCATAAGATTAGCCATCGCTTTGTTATTGTACCACTCACACTTCAAACTCTCCCACTTCTGCATAATTTCATCCATATTAGGCTTCCTACTTCTGCTTGCACCAGACATTTTTTCTTTAACAAAAGCTGAAAGACTAAGGTTGAATATAAATTTAAAGAAATATGATGGAAGTCTATGAATGACTATTAAATTTTCAAGTGAAGAGATTGTTAATATAGACAAAGAGTTCACCTAATCAATTTAATATCTATAAATGTAAAAGTAACTTTTTAGCTGTTTTTACTACTTTACGTTCAGAGAAATTGAATGAAACAAGATAAGTAGGTGGTAAAAACAAGTATGTGGTAAATGCAAAAAAAAAATGTAACTTCAGCCCTAATAAAACCCACAGTTTTTCTATAGTAAAAAAATAACTTCAGCCTGAAAAATATCTTTTCGGATCATTTACTATATAGTGAAAAAAAAGTTAAATGAAAGATAAAATAGGTGACAAAAGACAAAAAGTAGATAGTAAATGCAAAAAAGATAAGTATCAACTTAAAAAAATACCAAAACATGCCGAAGTTTTTGTCATAAGCTTTTTCAAAATCTTCAGCCCAATGTGCTGAAGTTATTTAGTTCATTTCTAAAAACTTCAGCACATCATAAGCTGAAGCTTTTTATCATGGATTCAATAGTTTTGTCGTAAAGCTTTTTCAATAACTTCAGCCCAATGTGCTGAAGTTATTTAGTGCATTTATAAAAACTTCAGCACCTGATAAGCTAAAGTTATTGTCCTGGACTCGATAATTTTTGTCGTAAAGCTTTTTCAAATAACTTACGTAGAAACTGCTTTAGTGTATTTAGTGATGAGCTGAAGTTTTTGTCGTATATTTGACACTTTTGTTGTGACTTTTAACCAAAACTTCAGCTTAAAAAGCAAAAAGTTATTTACTTCATGCTCAAGTTTAGCATGCTGAATTTCAACAAAAATATACTTGAAATTCATGGAAAAACACACAAACATATTTGAATCAATCCAAGTCACATAATTCACACAAAATAATGTATATTCACAAAATTCAATTTTGTTTTCACTTACATCCTTGGAAAAAAAGAAAAAATTAGTTTTTTGCTTACAAGTTATTCTCTATTCAAAAAATTCACAGAGTGTCTTCATATTCTCCATAGTCATGTCCTAGTTGCTCTTCTTGGTTTTCTTAACCACATTCCATGAACCTTCACTATGTCTTCAACTGATTCACAGAATCAGCAATACGAGCACCTGACACAGGTTGACGAAGTTTAGTACTAT